CAATAAAATGAACAGCCAGGAACAGTGTTCATTGTTCAAACGAAGACTCAGTATGAATGAATGCGCTCTATTGCAATCAACTGTGTACCGTTTCAACTGATTTCTCTTAATTCGGATTGTGACTACTGTAAAACCCGTAACCAGAAAACGTTTCCTTTCCAAAATGGGTTGCAACTTAGGCAGTGGGAAAAATTGAAATCAACCTTGACTTAAACCAGTAAATAACACCTTGTCGGCTTAGTACCATGTCTTAGTCCGTCCAGCTCCAGCCTCTTTAGAATCTTCTACTCTGCTATTCAGAAAAGTATGTCGGGATGGGCAGTGCCTAAGCATAAATAACATGTGAATTAACAACCCCTTAGTCGACAAAAAATTAAGGTATCAGTCGACTTGCTCTTTATACTCGGTATCTTACGCCTAACCTCTATCTGTTCAAATACTTGGAGCGTATGTATGTTAGTAGCCTAGACTCTCTAGTAATCTTAAGAGTACCTCATGGTTAAATCATTATTAATTCATCGATGTTAAGTCGCGTAACTACTATTAGTCATGAATTAACTCCTTAGCTTCACTATAACGAGCTCTAAGATGTATAGGTTGTATTCGTCTTAGATTATTATGGCGTTACTTGGTCGTTGAGCTACGACGCGAATTGATTGAAGTTGAGATTGTGCCACTGGATGCCAACCCAGTGGTTCTAATAGTTAAGTGGTCGCTACAAACCTGAAGACCCTAGGTTTCATACCTAGGGAAGTTGTAAGTACTCACTACTGAGGAGTTACATGCTGAGGCGAAACAGCTGTCAGTTGTTTCCTAGTTTTCAATGCTGGTCCAACTGAAGTCAGTCCGTGACAAGTACAAACTACAAAATAAAATATGCCCCACAAATCCCCTTATACCAATAATAATCATGTGCTCACCAGTTTTTAGTTTTGAGGTGTAATTCCTAGAGAAGCCACAACCAGCAGTGTCGAACCATGTTGATTGAAGGAAAGTTATCCACCTCAGACAATACATGATGACTGAGAGAGAACGTCGATTGATTAGACTTAGACATTGACATCGTTGTATGCTGGTCCAATGGTCTAGAGACTAAGCGTTCATGAATGGGATCAAAGGTCCTTGGTTCGACTCCATCGTACGCGATCATGGATACGCACTATTGAGGTTTCCAACATTAGGACGTAAAGGCCGTCCAGGGCTCCCAGGTTTTCTACATAGATCAGTTTGTGATTTAAACTATAAAGATAAATTTAAGAACGTCAATCCTTGACACTTGTTTACTTTGCAAAAAATCCTCTCTTAAATTTAGACTATATAGTATATGACCCAATAAAGGTATACTATCGAACACTATTTCTGATGATACCTTTTAGAGGAAATAATATCTAATATTCAGTTCCACTTATCCAAATGAGTGATATCCTGATTACCTGTAGTTTTCCAAATACACTTATTGTTTCCTTTCGATTGTTTCTACTACTGTTATTATTATTATTTAAGTGTTTCCAACGTTTACAACATTCAAAACACCAACTGTAATAAGAATTTAAACACAATTGAGAATGATGAATTGGTTGGTAAACAAGTGGACAATACCAATCAAACAACAACAACAACAAAGAAATCATTAGCTAATCAGAAATCTAATGAATTCAATCAATTGAACATTGAAACGAATCACTTAAACAAATGTAGTTTGAATAAACCAAATCAATTTCTTCATAATGAAAACATCTGCCTCATTGAGAATACAATTTGTGATGATGAAGAAACTATTCAGACAAACAATGATGATAATCACAACATCAAAGCTACTTCTAGTAATAATAATAATAATAATAATAATAATAATAATAATAATAATAGTATAAACGATTCAGAGGACGAGTTATTTGATGAGTTGATCAGGGGTAATTTTGATTCACCAATCCCCGAACCCACAAACTATGATGTAAACTCTGTAGATTATGATGAAATAGCTTATGATGATCAGTTATCATCAACTAGTACAAGTCTATTGTTGGACAATTCAAATCCAATTTATCAATCAACAAATAATTCATTGATATCAACTGAAAATTGATCAACATTACTACCATTATTATTAATAATAATCGGGTATCTTATTGTGGTGAATTCATGTTTGATTTTTATTTCATTTTAAATTGTTCACGTATTGATAATTGAACACCTTCCGGTGATTACAACAATTTCACATACATACATACATACAGAGATATACAGCATTTGTAACTTTAAGAAAATCAATTGACTGTAGTACATATATAATACGTATGTTGTGAGCACAAATATGTTGGTGTGTATAACATCCATTCTTCCAACATTTTTGTCTGTTAAACTTTTTGGAATAAATAAACCTCGTAATATCATATATCGTTAATTTTACTTTAGCAGTCTAATATATACTACTTTGAAGTAGTATGATTGATAATCAGAAAAACTAGGTTGTTATGCCAACATGGTGGTTTTTTTTGAGAAAAGAATCTATCGTCGTTCTTTATGCGCTTTTTGATAGATATTTTAAACTCCAAACTTTTTCATGTATACATTAAGATGAATAATAATCTCCCTTGAACTGTAACATCTTGATGACGAGTCTTTTTTGTAGCAGTAAATCTGTCGACTATGAGTAACAGTCTAATGTTGTTACATCTGGAGGGTTGATTCGTTTCAACTTAAATGTTAAACAACTGTCTATTGATGACTGACTTCTCTATCGTTCTAGCCCATCATGCTATTTATCCTCAAAGTGATGTCATTTACATAAACTCATGTACTCTAATAATGGCGCATCTAAATGAGCTCAAAGTTTTAATCCTAATCAGACACCTACAAAATAATTGGGTTTAAAACTAACGTATTACACCATCACTAAAGATAGAAGGAACACACCAGAATGAATGATAGTTGTATGGTGCGCAGTAATAAGTAGTTTGGAAATTCTACCCAACAGATTCTGAGCTACACCAAAAGCACTCATAAGCTTGTATAGTTGTGGGTTAGGTAATAAATTAAGCTATTTTGGGATGAGAGAATCAGTATTATTCGACTTTAAAGTTCTAGAAACCTGGATCGTACTTAACACAGTTGGTGGTCATGACTGTTGTGTTGTTGATTACGTGGTTAACATTTCCACACAGCAAATTTTCCAGTCAATACTCGAGTCCCGTATATGGAATCCTAGATGCGTACTGCTGAGTGGTCCCATATTAGGATGAAACGGCCACGCAGCGGTTTCAGGATTTTGATAGCGGTTAATACCGGGTCCCAGGCAAAGGAGAAGGGTTTGCAACCACATCTTGAAAGGAAAAAACGCTAACCAGTCAAAATAACACTGACCAACCCAAGATCCCAATCAAAACTCAATATTAGGAATAACGATATCCACTGATTAAAGTAAATCCTAACCTGGCACTATTTGACGTTTCTACAGGTATTAATGAATGTCAGTGGTGATAACAAACTACCTAGTTTCTGTGCGGTCCTTGATGTGTGCCAGATTAAATTTATTCAAGTTAGCCGCTCAGCTTATACCGGTTGGTTAACTCAACTATTTTTAGTTGACAGACCGACATAGAATATCCTAAACTGATTCACCGGTCCAAGTAATAATGCTTTGATAAAGTCACTCACTGTTTAACCTCCTGCCTCACTACAAACTACTAATCAGCTTGTTCCATGGGCACGATTCATCATCGGACACGAAACAAGCTGCTTCCTGAAACCAATAAAAACGGTCTTTCCTCGGTACTCCAGACTATTCATCAATCTATATGTGCATGTCAAACACAAACACTGTAGAAATATACATACAGGAGTACACATCTATATCTTCCAACACTTTCCGATTACCCTGATATTAAAACTTCCTACATCCTCAAAAAGCGCAATGGCTGGGCACTTAATAATAACCACATTCTCGATATAACTATACAACAATACGACACAACAAGAAAGTAGCAGTCCGGAAGAAAAATTGATATTTGGCGAAGACAATTACAATAACCTTGAGACACAAAAACCGGAGCTAAAAGTCCCTCCAACCAATCTGAAACTAACAAAGATCATGAGTGGTTTTTATTCACAGTTATCGTTCCAAGAGGAAACTAGAAAACCTGGGATTTTCTTAGTAATTATTTAATATTGTTATATTCTAGTATGAGTAGTTGAGAACGGCTGATAAGAAATAAAAATGAACTGGCGTCATGTTTCAGATGTTATTCCTGCCTTATTCCAATCCATTTGCATGAGATATTGAGTAAAACAGAATTGCAAGTGAAAACCAAAGGCTAACTATCCTTACATCAAATCAATTAGACGAATTACTAGATTATCCACTTTCTCCTGCTTCTGTATTTTTTCTCACCGTCAATGTTCTGCGGAAAAATTGTTACCCACTAAGAACCAACAGACTTATCTATAACGGGTCAAGTAGTATCTTTATCTTTTGCTAGTTAACTTGATTCCAGTATTCCATCATATGTACATTATTTTCGGCATCTAAAACCGCATTCTCAGTATTTAGTTTTCCTCACAATTACTGTGACTAGAATTATCATAACTTATTTTCTATTTATTTTGTTAATTTCATTTTGCATTATTGCGAACTTGAACTAATACATATTTTATTTCATACTAACTCCATGTCGATACTGATCGTCAGTATCACGCGCGAACGCTTAACGTCGGAACCGACGGCCCTATGTTCGAACCCCACGGACGGGATCGTGGATGCGCACTGTTGAGGAGTCCCACAATAGGACGAAACGGTCGTCTAGTGCTTCCAGGTTTTCAATGGTGATCTAACATCAATCGGTTCATGATCTCAATCGATATTGTTTGTCAAACAGAGAATGAAAACAAAGTCGCTTATATCCCCTTTCGAAAGGATAGTTATAAATTAATAAATTATATATATATATATATATATATATATATATATATATATATATATAAAGATGAAATTTTTAAAATAACCCAAATATAAATAATTAGTCAATAACAAAACACTTATGAGAGACAATTAAAAATGACATTAGTTGAAATGAGAGAAGTAACAATATTTTTCTCATGTTAAATAATGGAATAATGATAATATCTTTAAAATAAGATAACTATGATACAAACACTTAGATATTAGATAAATATTATACAGGTAGATAAGAGGTATATATATATATATGAATAATAAAATAATTATAAGCCACGATTCTTGTCAACTAATAATCTCCTTGACATTGCCCGATCTTCCTTGCAAATCTTTGATAACTCCATTTTATTACGACGAACATTTACAAATGGTTTAGGTATACGAATATCTTGTCGTACGACAGTAGTCGATTTAGGAGGAGTTATTGATAATTGCTTGGAAACACGATGAGGTGTACAGGACAAACGACGTGACTGGTTATATTTCATATCATACGCTTTACGTCGAGCAAATGCACTGTCTGCTGGAATTTTAATGGTAGTTTTACGCGATAATGGATTGCAAGCTAACAACAAAAAAGTAAAAATGAGAAAATATGCGGAAATTCATTTGAAGTTCTTTTTTCTAGACCAGATATAGGAACAAGATAGTACGATTTTTCGATTTATCGTAATATATTACTACCATTACACAACAAAACGGCCCATTTCTAAGATGATAATACCACTGAATTGGACAGTTCATCGATACACTATGCACAGACTGAGATTAGGACGCTATACCGGATACACGATTAGCAATCAACTATAGCGCGAACCAGAGTATATGCCAGACAATAGATTTATTTAACATGAACCCTAGTAGTCCATTACATGTAGTGAGTAGATATCAGTATTAGGAGGGAATACATAAATAGTACTTTGAATATATCTGTCTTTGCTCAGTGACCAATTATATCTTACTTTCACTGGCTACATAGCATTGAGAAAATTGGAAAGGAGGAAGAAATACAGGAAAATCCCAGTATTAAGCGGTGCAGGCAGAATGAAACAAAAGACACTATCACACCAACCAACTACTAACACAGTCCTTGATGTCTTTAAAAATTCAACTACTTTGTGATATAGAACAACAACTAGTTATCGTTTGTCATTGGTTAATAGGCTCAACTTTAGTTGATTTCCAAGGTAAAGTAGGGCATCTTACCAACGCAGCGATTCACTTCTAAAGGAATAACATGAAGTTGGAAGATAATAGAAATGAACAGCGGTTTTAGTGTAAATGTTAGTGATACTATATAGCTACGGACATTGTAACCGGGAAAATATGAATTAATTTCGATATGGGATCCAATGGTTAAGAGTTGAATCCAGGAAACTAATGAATAATAAACTTAGGCCAACTAAACTAGATAGTATATCCCAATCGATAACACTCAATAATGGTTCTGTTAACCAAAGATTGAGCAAACTGACCATAAAGTTTGTACTCAATTGATAAATAATAGCATGCGTGTCCACGAGTTTCATGAATTGTATTAATTATCATATATCATTTGTGTTCCCACATCCTAAGGATTGGTCAGTTTCTCGGAAACAATTAATCTGTTTAATATTTAACTTACCAGTGAATAAACTAATATATTTACGCAACAGGAAGGTATTCTTAAAGTAGTAGGGATATAAAAGAGTATTTCTGAACATGATTTTTTACTCAGTATATATATATATATATATATATATATATATATATATACGGGTACTAGGTAAGGATGGCAAATCAATTGATGAAGTAGTGAAACTTCATCAGTTGAGATGGCTTGGACGTGTTACGTATGCCCAACGACCGACTGCCTCGACGTGCGATGTTCAGTAGTATAGGAGTAGGATGGAAGAAAGCTAGGGGCGGCCAGACCAAAACATGGCACAGGTCAATGAGGTCACTGACAAGTGGTCTGAGTCATGTCGGTAGGTGTAGACTACCTGGTTGGGGACCGCGAGATGATAGCAACCGATGGTTAGAGACCCTGAACGACATGGCTCAAAATCGTTTGCAATGGCGCAGGTGCATCCACTCTTTGTGTTCTCCCAAATTTTGATCCCCTTATTCCTCCTTGTCTCTTTTTTTTCTCCCTTCAAATTTATTTCACTGTATTATACTTTTTAAGTAACATCTTCAAACCCTAATCTTCCCGATTACCGCTTATACTCTTATTACCTCTACTACTACGGGATTTGAATCGACAACTGCATCTCTATGCTAATGTGGTGTGGCAACTCGAACTGATGTACGTACGTACGAAGTTCTACGTTGTTACTGACTGACTGACCGATATATATATACATATATATATATATATATATATATATATATATATATATATATATATATATATATATACTGTACCATTGAATATAATCGTGCATCACTAGTTATGACATTATGATGAATGAAGCACATGGGCATCTCTATATACACGCTACTAACCAGGTGTCGATTGGTATTTATTCTATCTCCATTTGTTCTCGTTACTGGTTGTTGCCTCAAGTTTTTCATGACTGACAAAATGTTGTTATTAATTCTGTTCTGTTCATGATGATTTAATGTAGTGAGTCAATCAAGCATCAGACACACAATAAGCGCACGTTTGTGGTTAAAACCTGGCTTCCTTTCCTAAGGAACGTGGCACACATCAATCGTTAGACGTGTAGCTTAAATTTCTAAGATTTTTGGAAATGCTAGATCCCCGGGAATCACTTGGTAAGCGCCTTACTTTTGTAACTTTTCGAAAATTTGAATTTTTCATTTTCGCGCCAAGAGCGCCCTTTTTTACCTTCAATTTGTATTTCGTTTCCTTCTTTAATAATCTAATTTGTAACGTTTCCCAAGGACTTTTATGCTGCATATATACGCTTGATTTGTGTGCTTGTTGGTTCTTGCCTCTGACTCTGTGGAATAGACGATTCCCTCACCTGAACCTGGTCTTCTCCCTCTGGTTAGCAGGGCTGGGACGCATCGGGATAGTTTAGCTTGTCTCGTCGTCGTGTTGCACCGATTTTAGGTGATCTCATAATCTCTTCAAACGTAGCAAAGATATATATTGCTAGAGTTTAATTCAATAAACCTTCCTTCCTCTACGTCGTTGGTTGAGCTTACATATGGGAAGCTTGCGTATCAGTATCAGAATCGGATACCAACACAAAACATGATATGGACTCGTCAAGCTGTCAGATTCTACTACTATTTTTCCGTGCTTTACGCCCGCAAATCACAAAATATAACTGGAACTAGGAATAATACAATGTATTAACTACATTACAAGACAGTCTCCAACTAATCGAAAAATGACAATTAGCCTTCAAACAGCAATACAAAATCTTAAATAAATGTACATTATTTGAAACATAAATGAATACTGATATAAGTGTGGCTGTGACTGATCAGTGACACTAGGTATGCAATTTACTGACTAAATAACGTACAATCTATTTAACAAAAAACAACCTTGCCAACAATGTAACGAATACGAGTAATTCAAGATAAATATATTTTATACCATTGGATATAATGGTATAAAATCACTAACATAGACTATGTGCTCATATCAGCGAGATTTATTTTCAAATGACGCAAGCCTAAGAAAACTAGTCACAATGAAAAACACTCCTATTAGCTATTATATGTAGATGTCTACAACACACATCTCTAACTTGTGTGTAGGTTCCAATAGAAAATATGGAAATGACCAGAGATGACACATTTATTTTCAACAGCCAATCAAAATAAGTTGCAGAATACACGAAATTGTCTACAATATTATTCTTTGTGGGTTGAATTGATTGATGTGAGCTACATAAAATGACTAAACTGACTAACAAATGAGTACCTACTAAGATTTGGGTGACTGTCCCATAAGTTAAGCAATAGTGCTGTAGTTATTTGATAAAATAACATATGAAACCAAGGAGAAAATACACTCATAAAATACCTGCCAAATTGTTTGCCTGTTGTTGGTTATTTACAGTTGTACTAATTTCATTAGGTGAGAAAGGAGAAAGAAGTGATTTACTTCGTTTAAACGAATTTGAATTCTTCAATATTGTGATTTTGTCATTCAAAGGAATTGATATTTTCTTCTGAAGGCTGAACTTGCGCTCAGGTATATTTGTTTGGGAGATCTCAGATTTATCGCCAGATGAATTCGAGACTTTTTTATTGTTGTTAAAAGGCGGTGATGCAAATGGTGGTCGAGGTTTACTAGTCAAGTTACGCCGTGAAGCATATGACACCAATGATTCCAATTTTGAAGCGGCCTTAGCATGAATCTTACTGAAGTCTGATGAGCAGTAAACGAAGTAAGTATAATGAAATATTATGTAATGGCATACACAAATATTATTTTCAGCATACGAGGTTTGTGAAGACTTTTGTATTTCAATATATTACATCAAGGATTGATTTTAGACAATTACTGAAAAAAAGAAGCCCTGGACAACTGTTTCGTTCTAATGTGGGACTCATCGGCAGTGTGTACGAGACTGAATACTCGACGTTGGATTTGTAGTGGGGTTATGGATGGGCACCGCTTAGGAGTCTCATACTAGGACGGAATAGCTAACCAATGCTTTCTGTTTTCAGTGGTTGTCTAATTACAATCAATCTGTGATGTAATTATGAAAATATTATTCCCATAATTTACACCAAAAACATAAAATAATGAGGAAAACACCTTGTCACGAGAAATCCAGTAAATCGGCCCAAAAGCTACACTCCACATCTACATTTGGGTTTAAAACTGGAACACTAAACAGTAGTGAAGAATACTTCTATTTTAATTCCTCAAACTAATGACTGAAGACTACCAAACAGGTTTTAGTGGACACTTCTTAACAGTATGGTATATTTGACTCGAACTTACCGAAGGGGATTCCCATGGGAAATGACGGTAGGTAAAAGTAAAAATACTATCTCCGAACAAGGAAGCATGAATTATTCAGACGGGGTGATAGAAATCTACTCACAACCCCTCCGAAACCTGAGATGTCTAAAATCCCTATTTCACTGGTATGGTAGTGGGATTAAGAAATATTTTTCACAAATTCCAATTACCCAAATGTTTTTTATTTTCCCCCACTATTCTTAATCATATTTATGCAGACACTGGATCAATCACTTTTATTTTGTTTTACTTCGAGTGCTCCAGATTCAAAGAATAATTGACTTAATACTCGTAGCTCACATAAATAGATTCTTTGGGACGACATTCGTAGAACATGTTCAAGCCACCGAAGTCAGTGTTTTAAGATAATGACACCAACTGAATTATCGTCTTTGCGCCCGGACACACGATGCCAAACCTCTTCATTACTAACATGGTGTTGCCGCTGGATGTCAGCAATCCTTCGGAGATAACGTTAATCAAACATATAGAGTTGTCTAACATAGGATATGCTTTGATAGTAGACTATTATGTATGTTTCGTGGCATACTGCTGTTATAGCAGGATAGATTATGTTGTTATGTCAACCAATCATAATCAACATAGAGCCTTGAAAAAATATGCCTGACTCCAACTTGCTGTAGCACATCAGGAAGAGGTGAAATTACCAAGACGAATAGCAATAGCCGAAGCAATCGTAGTAACGATGATATTGAGAAAGATTAAGCATTGAGGATGTGATTTGAGAAATATAAATGAAGTTATGCATGAAGAGATACTGGAACTCAAGATCTAAAGGAAGATAAAGAGCGAGCATGTGTCGTTATGGCCTATTCTGAAGCATATTATTTAACATATCCAACCATTGACCAGAGATGTCTCAAGGACTCCTGACGTCACATCGCAATCCGGTTACCCATAGTTTTTTCAACCTACTCCCACTTCCGAGCGCGTCAGAGAAGACGGGATCTTAGCAAAAATAACACATGTCCCAACCACCATAGTCGATGGGGACTCATAACCTCATCGTCTGACTTGCCATCTTAATCTAGTAACTGATCCCAAACCTTAGAGTTCATCATTTGGTTATTCCACTCACTGCCTTCTCAAGGCGACAGTGGTGTTTACAGAATTGAGAAAACGAAAAAAGAATGTCCGGCGCTTTAGCAGGGTTGGTGAATATAGAGGATCTACCTAGGAGATTGGAAAACCGCGATTCCAAACCGATGATGCACATGAGCTCTAGGATCCTGAGGGAACAAATGGCGCATAAACCTATTCCTGATCACCAGCTACTATGAGACTGCATCTCCTAACGTTGCGCCACTGCCTTGTGGATTAGACCTCTAGGCCAAAGGCTCGGTTAGTGTTCCCCTAAGGGAACTATCTGCTTCGGTTTGGGCACCAGGGCAATATTCCAGCCGTCACACAAGTTGAGTGATGAAGTGTGGCGCATATATATTTGATGTCTCCTTGTACTAGTGTTTATGTGTCTAAATAAATAATAATAAGAGCAATACTTTGAAGACATCTATAATCAAGAACTTGCTGTGATATGTAAAATGTTGAGCAAGGACCTATTCTAATTAAAATTTAGGAATGTCGTCTTTATAATGAACTTTTATTCGTTCTTTCTTGAAACCATTTAAGCGAAAATGCATGAAGCTATGGAGCAGTAAGCCCTTAAAATAATAGTATTTCGTCAATGGTAATTCATATACCAAGTACGGATCAGCAATGAGCCATGTTGTTTTTGTGAACAGTAATGGTAATACACGGAAAACCAAAGTGAATTAAAGTGACTTTTGAACCTATGATTTAGTGGTTGAAAGATAAATGCTTATTTAGCAAATCGCATCGTAGTCATAGCTGTTACAAGACTATCGTTGGAACTCATTCTGTATATATGACAAAAAATTGAACGTAATAAAGATGAATTTGGAATTCGAATTACCTGGGACTGTCTTGATAACCGATGGTTTTTTAGCTATGGACAATTTATGGGATTCTGGAAAAAGTTTTAAAAAATAGCAGTTAAATATAAAAGCCAAACAATGAAGGGTTACTCTACAAAAGTTAGTTTTGTTGAATAGTGCTTGATCTGGTCGGAATTAACGAAAATAAGTGTTTACTTAAAAAAAGGTTATTAAATTGTTGCTTTATGGGGCTATATCGTTATTATTAGATGTCTCCTGAGTAAATGAATACTACCAGGGTTAATGAAAGAAAGTCTGACATGGAGAATGCCATCAAAAAAGAGAAAATGCTAGCAGCTCCTCTTAAGCTTTAACATGACACACTAATATTTTCCCACTTTATAATATCAGAATAAGCTTGATACAGTGAAGCGTCAGAAATTTACAAACTCTAAACATTTTTATCTATAAATAAGGGAAAACTACACATTAATAGCAAAAAATGTCAAAATATTTCAGTATTCAACGTGAATTCTATTTTTGACTGATGAATACAATAAATCTAGGGCATGATTGCCGCCAACTTATTACTTTGAGCTACACCTCAGACCACTGGTTACATGATTTCTAGAGCGCTATTTGGGGAATCACATTGTGCAAAAAACTGATCAACATTTTTTTCGTAATGACCTTACTTAGCTCTATCAGATAAAATACTTGTTTGAAACCTTACTACATGTGGTACGTTGATTAGAGAGATATCAGAGCCAGTGAATGTAACGTACGAGGGTGAAGTCGTACCAGTATTTTAGGGTATGGGATAAGAAAGTAATCTCCAGAGATAAATATGATCCACAACAAAAAGATCTGAATTGGCATACAAAACTAAGGACCTCAGCACAAAACTGACCTTTGTTATATCAACACAAGCACTCACAACTAAACAGGCATAAGGACTTCACTATTTTTAATAGCCCCCACCAAGCATGATTACAGAGGTACTTTACTGTCAATCGTGGTTATTTATTTTCTAATTGATCTAAATACGTAAACATTAGTGCAAGGAGGTAGTAAATATATATGCGCCGCACTTCATTCGATTTGTGTGAGGGCTGGAATGCTGCCTGGGTACTCAAACCGAAGCAGGTGTCGTATAGATACACTACACTCCAACGACCTAAACAACATACCATACGTACGGACGGTAGTTTTCAAGTGAATAAGTGTAGTATAGGCAACTTATACATCATCACTGAGTAGAATGATTTCTATGCGTTCAAAACTGGGGAATTTTCTTCAAAGTCGAGAATCTACACCAATGCAAACTACTTTCAGGACACCATTATTGGTAAAGTAAAAGAGATATGGTGGTACTGAACATCTATGTATGACTGACTAGAAGTAACAGAAAATAAGTCATGTACGTTCATGTATCATTCATTCAACCCATTCTGGTTCATGGCGCTGGAAAATGTCGAGGACACTAACAATAGTCACGATCCGTAATATTCTTAAATTACAACTAACAATTATACTTGAAATATTACTAGTGCACCGTTAGACAATTTAATATATTGACCTATGCACTACTTATGGCGACTGTAACTAAGATCGTATGTAGAGACGGTGTGATATCATGACTACTGGAAAACTCAATTTCATAGACAGAACTTATATCGCAAAGGAGTGTATTGAGTGGGAACTTAAAATCCGTGAACTAACTATAAACAACTTGGAGTGAAAGGTGAGACGTTCACTACATAACAGATACGTCACATTTCGACTGAGTGGCATTACCTGAGTATTGCTTGATTGGGTTCTCAATAGTATCCTTCTTGCAGCACACCACAGGAGAAGTTAGCTGCAGATATTGAGTGAAATATACAAAGTGAACTGACCTCGTATGTTCGATTCAAAACAGCTGAAGCTTCATCGTCACTTATTGGTGTAGATGTTACCCCACCATTTTCCTTATTTTCTTGATCGTCAGCAGGAAGCTTAGGCTTGTCCGTACATCTGAAAGAAGACTCTTCAATCTATCCCGAAAGATGTCGTGGAAAGCATAGTACATCTACCTCAACAGACTCAGCAGATGTTGTTTCACCAGTCTTTGTGCCGGTACTTTCAAATTCCTATGAGCCTATAGAGGCAAGGCATTATACAAACCTGAATACAAAGCAGGATCTTCAGCTTCTTCTTTAGTTCAGAGGCCTGTAGTGATAAGATGAACATGCTTGAAGCTAACCTTTCTGTTAGCCTTGATACCATGCATTTTAGCAAGCCTCTGGAGTTCTACATACCGCAAGCTATCAATATCTACCGTCATTCTACCTCTAACCAACTAATTACGGAATCCGCGCCCCTACCGGTACATACCATATGTTGTTCATTTCACTATCCAATATTTTCAGTGGAACCAGTAAAATCTAAGTAATTTCCTTGTTATAAAAACTTGACCACATAATCCAATTTCGGAACCGTGGTACTGTTTGGGAAAATCAGGCTAAATGATTCAAATGGTTGTGAACGGAATAAAAGAAGCCCGAGCTAAACAGGCTTTCGTATCTTATGGAAGTGTATCATCGATACCTCCAGGTGAGGACTTATATGTATCTGACGAGTAGAAACGAAACATTAGGGAATTATGGTCAAATATCGTCCTCAGTCCCTAACAATCTATCGAGTTTCTTCTTGAAGGACGTCTGGGGAGTCGTTCGGACCACCGAATCCAGCAGCGAATCCTAGGACATATAGGGCCTAAGAAACGTCACTGAGCCCTAACCAAGTCGCCCAACAGTCCAGCCACTAAATGCAGGACAATTCATCAGCTTTCATCAAGGTCAAGGATAACCAACACATGACATGGACTCGCCTTACAGACTCAACTACTCATAGGGAATAGAGAGTGTACCAACGGTCCGGTTTGCTATGTCATGACTCTGAGCTATGAGTCATTGAAAGGTCACTTCTAGGTTGATTGTACACTATTGTGTGAAAGTAAGTTTTTAGTTTGAATTCTTTGACTGATCTCATAGCTCGCATATGGATAAGTTCCGGACTATTCATGTTCTTTTGTAGTGAGGGCTAAAACGATACATTTCCATACTCTGAATGGGACCAAATAGAACTTAAAAATTAGGTAAAAAGTTAAACTTGACAAAAATGTGCTTCAAAGTTGCTGGTGAAAGAACTGATCTAAGAAGTATTCCTATCACAGTAAGACTTTAGAAAGTATAGTGCCAAGATACTTTGCTCTTCAATTGGGGGTGACTTATCTAACCTGTGTGTATAATCTGCAACACGTCTCACATGGACTACTGTACACTTCAAAGTGCTAAGAGTAAGTCCGTTGTCATCCTTCCAATTTAGAGTCGGTTAGACCTTTATGAGATTTTATATCGTGATCCTGGCTGTAAACTTTTCTCTAAAGTTTAGCATCGTCAGCGAAAAAGTAATAGCTAAGACGATGCCTGCTGAAGGTTATTCACGCGAACTGAAAGTCAAGGAGACCTTGTCAGTGAACCCTAGAGGACCCAGCTAGAATATTCTGTACCCTGAGAAAATGCAAAGTTTACCCTGAGTAGTCATGGTCCGTGTCAACTTGTGCAACCACAAATCACCAAACAGGAATTAATTCGTTACCTATATGTTCCCATATTTTCTGTAATGGTTTTCAGTGGAGATGTGAAACTTGCTGTTTTTGGCCAAACCTTCATATTACCTGAAGCTGATCTTGTGGTTAAAACGTCACATAAAATGTTTGAGTATGTAAATAACTTCCTATAATGCATGATTCTGTGGAGATTTGGAATTGACCTCGATGTCTTTGGTTTCAACAGTCACCATTAGCGAAAGAAGTTTTGTCAGGCGTCGTAGTCATATCTAAGTACAATCCATGAGAGACGTTCCTTCTCAGACAGGTTAACATCCATTCACCGACACCTGTCTATCCTCAAATATGCGATTCCTCTGGGCCTTTCTTTCGTTTTTGTCTTCTAGATATCCTTCTTAAGGATCGCCTGGTTTGGTCACATCTACAGTATCTTCACACTTTTGATGAGGGAATCTTACTGTTAGTGATGGCCTAAAACCATGAATAAGTATGGTAATAATAGGTTTCTCACTCCACACCCTACCTACATTCCCCAGGATCGCAACTGTAATTACTCTCAGAAAGAAAACTTCTCACACCCTTTAGTACCGACCCATCACATAACAACGGCTCCCATGTATAACAGCAGTCGCAACTCCTCCCAGTTACGCGTAGCAGACCCCTCTCACGCTAACGTAAATAGCCATAACAGGGGCTACGAGTCTAACCATCAAGACTATTTTGTAAATAACCATACACTTCACAGTAGGCCTGTACAAGATTTTTTTGGAATAAGACCCCTAGTGACACCTCTGTTGAAGCATATAGCCCAGGTTATTTCAAACCACATGCAAACCATAAATTTGTTTCCTCCGTACAGTTTCCATCACAGAGTACTCCCACCCTTTCCTCCTGGGTAAACTCCCCAATCAACTTCACTAGCTCATTTGATACATCTCCCAATAAGTCTAGCTATCAAAATACCGAGCTAATGAAGAACATCCAATCCCTCACATCAAACTCATCTCATACGCGCGAGGGTTACGACGATTTTATCCGAGATACCCTCACCCATTTTAACTTAGTAGGCCACCTGCTTAATATATGTCTTATCAACGCTCGATCGATCTGCAACAAAAAGACGGATTTAGCCCTGTTTGTATCCATATATCAACCATCAGTTATTATGATATCTGAAGCATGGACTAACAGTAATATTTCCGACCGAAGTATATCTCTTGATAACTATTCCCTATATAGAAGCGATAGATTGAATGGACGAGGCGGAGGATGCCTTATTTACGCTCACTCTAGCCTAAACTCACTGCTATGTGATATGCCTGAACTAAACAAACTGAAGGATTCGGTGTGGATTGTATTAAAGCCGTCGAATTCCGTTACCTTACTGCTCGGCTGTGTTTATCGTCAACCTAACGCATCAATAGATGAAATAGCAGTATTATCGGAGGTATTCACACTAGCATCATCCCTCTCATTCACAGGCAAGCTCATTTGTGGTGACTTCAATATGCCCGAAATTTCTTGGCTGCCAGTCAAAGCGCCGAGACGTTATGAATCATTTATTGAATGTCTAGAGCTCGGACAATGGACTCAGTATGTCGATAGCCCTACCAGACATCAAAACATCTTAGACTTAGTCTTTACCAGTGGCCTCATCCCCAATACTTTGTATATTGGAAAAAAGTTCCCAGGTAGTGATCACAACATTGTCATATGCAGCCTTAATGTAAAAACCACAACCGATAGAAGTAAAACCGTAACACTTCGTAGAAACTATCGCAAGGTTGATTGGAATAACTTCCACAATTACCTAAGAAGCACTGATTGGAGAACTTTCTTTACCTCAAACAATACCGACACATTAACCAATATATTTTATCACAACATCAAAAGTATCATCAACAACATCGCACCTTTAGAATACTGTAAACCTACGTTCTCCAAAGATCTCTATATACCGGTCAGTACAAGAAGACGTCTTCAAAGACATTGTACTCGATTCCACAACTTAAATGACTTTTCCTCTTTAGTAACGATGACAGAAATACTTGTCCGAACAGAGGCAATAAGTAAACAAAAAGCAGTAGCACAGGAAAAACGTGCAGTTGAACTTAATAATAACTCCTCTGCACTCACCATACTACTCCAAAATAAACTTAAACGCTCTAAATCGAGAGGGAGTATATTCATTAAAGGCAAACAAGTATACGAAGATCCCAAACTTATCACAGAATTATTTAGTGAACATTTTTGTTTCTCACTAACTAACGAAAAACCATTTAATGATTCAGAACCAATCCCAGTAACTCCCTGTGAAATTACTAATGTAGAATTCAGTGTACAAAATATCTCCAAGGCAATCAGTACATTGAAACACTCCTACACTGATGGACCAGATGGTATCCCATCTAGCATGCTAAAACGTGGAGGTGATGATATGTGTGTTTTGCTTCTCAAACTATTCGCGATATCACTCTCTTCAGCGTGTTACCCTACTGCCTGGAAAACTACACATATCATTCCCAAAATTAAAACAGGACCTGAAGCAAACGTTGAAAATTACCGGCCTATAAACATAACTTCAGTGGTATCCAGAGTGATGGAAAAAGTAGTTAAGGCGGCTGTAGTCCAACATCTACTAACTAATAATCTCATCTCGACCTCCCAGCATGGATTTCTTAGGTCCAGATCATGCGATACATGCCTAGTAGACTACCTGAATGATATAACTCTGAAACGAGACAGCGGACTCCTTGTATCAGTCCTATTCCTAGACTTTAAGAAAGCCTTTGATAAGGTCCCACACAAAAGGCTACTCGTCAAACTAAAGTCCTTCGGAATACACAACCCACTGTACTCATGGTTTGCTTCGTTCTTAACAGAACGTAAACAGATGGTAAAGTACAATGACTGTCTCTCGTCCCCTAGACCAATCACCAGTGGAGTCATCCAGGGAAGCGTATTAGGTCCACTTTTGTTTCTTATGTATATAAACGATATATGTAACACCATAGAATTTGGGAAACCATACTTATATGCTGATGATCTCAAAATAGTATACAGCTATAAGCCTGAGACACTAAGCGAAAGTGTATCCCAGATCCAAAAGGACCTCAATAACTTAACTATATGGAGTGAAAAATGGCAATTACCATTTAACCTCAACAAGTGCGGGATCATGCACTTTGGAAAGCATCCCTATAAACCGCGACTTCACTTAAATGAATGTAGAGTCCAAACATTCGAATCAGTACACGATTTAGGAATTAATTACACAGGAAGCCTAAACTTTGAAGAACATGCCTCCTCTATTATTTCTAAATCTAGACGGCTAATTGGTTTTATAATGAAAAACTTTTTCACAACAGAGGGTAAACTTACTCTCTACAAAATATGTGTACGACCCTCCCTTGAATACTGCTCTTTTGTCTTCTCTAATATGAATATCGCAGACAAGATAAGAGTAGAAGATGTTCAAAGACGTTTCACACGTCAACTACTAGGATGTAACTCGAATCTCGATTACACAGAAAGATGTAAGCATCTATCTTTAGAACCTTTATGGCACCGTAGGCTAAAAAACAATTTAATATTTCTCTACAAAGCGATATATGGGCTCTCCTTTCTAACCTCCTGCCCGACTATCACCCACGACCCAGCCTATAGACTTAGAAACAACGCATATACACTACTTACCGTAAAACACCAAAAACAAATGCGTTGTAAGTTTTTTACAGTACGGTACAGTTTATTGTGGAACAGGC